ACTGTTGGGTTGTTAAAAGTTAATATCATATGACCTTATTAATTTGATAATATATCTAACAATAAAATAAAGGATCAAATAATCATTGAAAATGAGGTAGAGATTAATTAATATAAGCCAGATTGATACTCTGTACTATACTGACTTATATATTTTCTAGCTTTTGAATATTAGTTTATTTACTCCAAATGATAATAAAACCAATTTTGATAATTCTAACAAGTTATCTGTCATAACTGAAAATTGTAAGAATTAAGATGCAATTTTTATACCAAACGCTAATGATAAAGTTCTAAAATCACTATTTACTTCTGTTCAACTCAAAACAAGAAATGTAAGTATAATTTGCTCATTTATTTAGAATAATCAATAGTAATTTTCATATTAACTAAATTACTTTTAAATATTTAATCCATTGGTTCCTCTTATAGCTATTGAAAATATAAATATACCACATTCTGTTAAACAGTGTCAAACTAAAAGAATATGAAATAACAAACGCAAAGGTATATTAGAACATGTAAGTAAATTATATACATATCAATAAAAAAGAAAACTTTAAGTATCTTTCTTAATGTTTAATTATAATCTTCTAGTCAAATTTATAAGATGAAAATTCTGAAACTGTTTCACTATCACAGAGAAGAAAGATTAATAATCCTGCTCTGGAAGAGCTTTTTAAGAAATATGGTATGAGTTGGAATCAAAAAGAATTTGAAAAAGAATGTTAGCTTTGAAATATCTATTTATATGATGATAATATTGTTAATACAACCAAGATAATTAGCTAATTTGATCACAAAAAGAATAAGACTAAATCTTGTGGTGCTATATCTGAAACTTAAATATTGATAGTATAAAGAACTAACAAAAAACATATTAATATTAATTATAATATGTATTAAATAGCTTTTCTGTTTATATCTTGATATTATACTAGCAATTTGGTTATAACTTTGGATAAAACAGCATTATAAGACTTTCATTATCAAACATTTAAAGTACACTCTATTATTTTAAATTTTGGATATTCATATTTTAAAAATAAATTAAATTCAATAACTTACAGTGAAGACAAAATAAAATAAATTACCTGGAGGCTTGGTATTATGATGGTCAGACTCAACGTACAGGGCAGACTACAAGTTCTCTGAACACCGTAAGAGCCAGGTATATGGCGAGCGACCCTGTAGAAGAAACACTATTGAAGTCACCCCCAACATCTTTAGAATCATGTGACTTCAACACTTGCTACAATAAATTTCTCTCTTATCATAATCTACTATATTTATCTCACAACCAGATACTAAAATCTTTTTTAGATCACTTAAAAAACCACAAATTTAATAATAATATCACTCTTTCAATAAACTAATCTCTTGATGAAGTACATATATACCTACTAAATGAACAATCTTTACTATTAAATCATATTATAATCGATCAATTTCTTATAACTAAATACTTAAACTTACCGATAAAGTCAACACAAACATCATCACAAAGTGTATTTAACTCAAT